ACAATATTGTTTAAATCAGTGTTTCTCAACTTTGAAAACTTTAAGATGTGTGGACTTCAACTCCCAGAATTCCCCCGTCAACCATGCTGACTGGGGAATTCTGGAAGTTGAAGTCCACACATCTTAAAGTTCCCAAGGTTGAGAAACATTGGTCTAAATGTTATCTAAGGAGGCATCACACTTTCCCCCAAGAACCAATTTACTCCTTGTTTTCATGTGAAACTGTATCTTTGTTTACTGGGCCATGTTACCAGGACATTGAAATATCACCTGCTCAGATGATTCAACAGTACTGTATTGCTCAACATCATGTGATGGGCTCTGGAACATCTTAAAAAGACCCTTTTGAAATGTCACTAGCACTGATGAATTTCAGGAACTGTAGGTGAAGTCAGAAGTCAGCATTACTGGGGACCTGATAATGAAGACATTCAGACAGGGATAATAGTACAATATTGTACTATTGCCTATTTTCTGAATTCCCTGAGCAAGCAATTAATGAAAGACCACACTTAGAATACTGCATCCAGTTTTGATCACCATATTATAAAACAGATTTTGAGATTCTGGAAAGAGTGCAGAAAAGAGCAACTAAGATTATTAGGAGCCTGGAGGCTAAAACATATGAAGAACAATCGCAGAAATTGGGTATGTCTAGTTTAGTAAAAAGAAGGAGTAGGGGTGACATGAGAGCAGGGTTCCAATATTTGAGGGGCTGCCACAAAGAAGGGGGGGGGGTTCAACCTATTTTCCAAAGAACCTGAAGGCAGAACAAGAAGCAATGGATGGAAACTAATCAAGGACAGAAGCACCTAGAACTAAGGAGAGATTTCCTAACAGTGAGAACAATTAACCAGTGGAACAGCCTGCATTCAGAAGTTGTGGGCGCTCCATCACTGGAGGCTTTTAAGAAGAGACTGGACAGCCACTTAATAATAATAAATAATAAAGTTGGAAGGGACTTGGAGACTCTGACACAGCTCGAATGTACAAGATAATTTCATACAGAATTCCATGGTAAGATTGCTCATATAAACCAACACTAGCTGGGTTAATCACACAAAAGTGCTTTCCATGAGATCAGAGATCAGTTATCCATTTTTTGCAATACTGGTTTAACCAGCAGAAGCAGCAAACTGAAGTGCTTAATAAAAGTGCAAAGTGCAAATTGGAATCCCAGAATTTGACCTTCTAATCTATTTGACGTAAATGGGCTAACAATAATGCAAATGTTCAAAACTATATTGACCAAATGCTGATTTAATAGAGGAGAACTTTTCTATAAACTACCAAAAAAATGTTCTCATGGTCTGTTATGCCCAGCCACAAGCCCTAACCTCAAAAACAATGAATGTTGCTGTTTCAGTTTGAAAACATTCTGCTTCCTCTGAAGTGGTGGTAAAACAATGCAACCGTTATAAACTTGCCATTCCAAACAAAAATGTTTGGGGCTAATCCCTCAAAAGAACTTTGTCGATTGCACTAGGTAATCTAGTCCCATACAAAGTCATTTCCATCTCATTTTTCATTTTGTTCTGAGGAGCTCTGCATCAAAGCAAAATGAACAGAAAAACTCTGGAGAAAGTAACTAATCCTCTACAAAAGCTTTGTTTTCTTCTGGTTTTCATTTTATTGGACCAATAAACATTGATGCAAAATCGTTCTTTGTGATGCAATGCTCACTGCAGGGCACAAAGTATTCTGGAGCTAGATTGGTCAGTGCTTAATAATTTTATTGTCTTTATGCAGAGGAGTGTTTAATACGCAAATAGAGATTACTGTTTAACTGGCCAACCCTGGATCACATGCCAAGGAAAACAAACCAGAATGACCTGCCATAATACCCATAGCGACTTTTGTTAACTAAACATATTAAAACAACAGAGCTCTCAAGAGTTTAAAAATAGATTCAGGCCATTTTGTTTAGTTCAATTTTTCAATAAGGGAGCCCTGAAACCACTTAACTGTCAGTATCAATTGCTTGTAACTGAAAAGATAATGCAGCTAAGCAAAAAATTCAACTATTGGGGACGTTCTGTCTCTTTTTTTTTACAGATGGATATTTCACCACAATAACCACTCACTGATTATGATGCAAAACTAACCCGTAGTTTATTTAAACTGGCATTTTCCTGGAAAATAAGAACAGGAGACGCAGAAACGAAGCCTTGAAAAACTGACCACAATAAAGTTTCAATCTGCAGCCTGGTTTCTGTGTTTTGCAGACAACTTATTTATTGTGTAAGAAGTCAATGTCATCACATTTACTGAACTTTGTTTCAAAGATGTAAGCTAAGTCTTGGCAGTACAATTTTATGCTGCTAACTCTGAAACAAACTGTACCTTGCTCAGAAGGGTTTAGTGAAAAGCTAAGTGAGGATTTGGCCCAACATCTGTTTAAATCCAAAATACTTTGTCCAAACTGGTTATAGGTACATATGTTGTTATTATTTGCGCTCTACAACAGTGTTTCTCAACCACAGGCACTTTATGATGTGTGGACTATGACTCCCAGAATTCCCCAGTCATGCTGGCTGGGGAATTCTGGGAGTTGAAGTCCTCATGTCTTAAAGGGGCCAAGGTTGAGAAACACTGCTCTACAGCCTTGTCTAGCATACAACTGCCCAGGATTTATCAGCCTACAACCAGCATCATCCACAGTTAGATGAGACCTAGATGTGGACGATGAGATCTATAGTTCTGCTGGTTTTCTGTCAACCCTTTAAAGTAGACCAGACTAGGACACCAGAGTTATGCATGCTAATGCTACTTTTATTATAAAGTTATCATAGCAGCACCTTGCAGGTTTGCAACTTTCCTCCTCTCTCCCTTTATATTTCTCAACTTACATTTCTGCCCCAGACTCAAATTTCTTTTATCTGACTGTTGTTTTCGTTGCGGCTCTTGTCTATAGAGATTCTCAGTTATCCAGGTCAGGGTTGTCCCAAATGTGCTTTTTCCAAAGGCAACTGGACTTTGTGTTCCCTTGAAGACGTTTTACTTCTCATCTAAGAAGCTTCTTCAATTCTGGAGAAGTGAACTGAAGAGAAGTGAACTGAAGAAGCTTCTTGGATGAGAAGCGAAACGTCTTCAAGGGAAAACAGTCCAGTTGCCTTTTGAAAAAGCACCTTTGGGTTGTGGCTGTTCTTCCTCCAAGATTATTTCTGTCATCCATTATGTCTTTCAACTGTCTTACCAATGGAACCAACCAGTGCCTCGTCTTTAAACCACATGCTGATAATTCCTCATTTTCTAACCCTCATTTTGGGAACTCAGTCTTTGGGAGATCCTCATCAGTTAAACGACATGCATGTTTCCTGAGCTGAATTATCCAATACACAACTGTATCTACAACCTTTCCAACTGTCTGATCCCTTTTTAGGGAGTCTTGGACTACAATTCCCAGTACCTCCAGTTAGTTATGGGAGCTGTAGCTGAAGATGACACCTCTCAAGCATGCTGGCAGGCTGCCCTTCCCCGAGGGAGAGACTCGTGTGTTTAAGGGGTGGAGCTCACTTATAACAACAAAGAGAACATGCACATGTCTTCACAGCACACTATTTTCCCGGGAACCTATGAGTGGAACACCAAACTCACATTCCTTGTGATAGCACTGTCATGCAATAGAGATGGCTCAGTCCATGTTTTTCTTGCTGGTATTGGGTCTTAGACTTCAGACCATCAATCAGGAGGATCAGACTGACATGAAACCATTACATTTTAGGCAGGTGTCATAAGAGCAATGGAAGGGGATAGTTAGGAGGTGACCGGAAGGAGGACACATCTAACTTCTTTTACCTGATGGGCATATTTGATATTTGACAGCATATGGTGGGCACCATACTTTCATGAATGGACCTTTCCAATTTAAAATAATGGCATGGTTAAACAGATACATGGTCAAAGGTATCTGAAGCTTAGAAAATACAGAGAAACACTGGAATTGATGACAATGATTGAAGTCCATGAAAACTTACAATTAGAGGCATAATCTTATGTTTCCCAGTCTATGAAGGAGTCCTAGAGACACCACTAAATTTCACATATTCTGACCATCCCATTATTTCTTTTATTACATCATTACTGCTCTCGTTCTCCAAATGTTGACTTATTCTCAAAGGGTACATAAGTAAACCAGCAATATAGACTTAGTTAGAGCTTGGGGACATTACAAAATCATTGTACCTGGAGATTCAGCTACTAGAGACTAGCATCGCCTTAAATATTTTAGATCATCCTCTCCTGAACCAGCTGTGGAGATGGGCTGAGGTTACAGTTCTCACAATTTCCAATCCATTAAAAAAAAAAACCCCCACAACAATCATGGTTGTTATTGTAGTCCCCAAAGATCTGGACAACCTACACCAAGTTAAGGGGAGGCCAGTTTGGACTGGCATCTTGAAGCCAAAGATAAAATGTCATCGATTAGGGTGAAGCCAACAACTGTTCTGTGTGGGGAGCAGCAGGGCTGGTTGGTTTGCCCTTCCCCTGCTGATCGTTGGCTAAATTCAGCTTGCAAGAGCTCCTGCCCGCGATGACGCCACAGGCCAGGAACAAAAACAAAGGCATTGCAACCTGGCACAAAACAGACGGTGCACTTGGGACAAAGCATCCCACACTGTTCCTGGTGGTACAGTTGCTTGTGTGTGTGTGTGTGTGTGTGTGTGTGTGTGTGTGTGTGTGTACACGTCCAAATGTTGATTTGTTCTCAGAGCGTACATAAGTAAACCAGCAATACAGACTGAGTTAGAGCTTAAGAACATTACAAAATCACTGTACCTGGAGATCATTGTACCATACCATGGTGTATGTGTTTGTGTTTGTGTGTGTGTGTATGAAATATATGAAATAGGCCTCCGATCCAAGACCCGCTTCTCCCCTTGCTGCCTTTGCCCGGTTGCTCCTGCCCCGAGAGTCCCCCACCCTCCACAGCTCCCACTCCGGACCGAAGCTTCCTTTACGCCTCTGGACCTCTCGCAACCCTCCGGCCAAAGTCTCACCTGTTCCTCTCGTTGTCGCAGCCGCCGCCGTGCTCCTTCCCGTCCAGGAACCTGGTCCAGCCATCCGCCGTCTTCACCCAGTTCTGGCCCGGCGATCGCCAGTCCTGTCCGAGAAAAGGCATAGCGGGCACAACCGAAAGAGGAGGAGGAGGACGCCGGAAAAATAAAATAAAATATTAAAAAAAAAAAAAAAGGCGCAAGAGAGCGCGCCTTGGGCTGCCTCCAAAGCAGAAGCTCTAGCGATGCTCGGTAGCCAAAAGGAAACCCGGAGACGCCGCCTAAGCAAGGCGGTTTTTGTATTTAGGACGCCGTTTTCCCTCCACCCCTTGACGATCAAGCTCCTCGATCGCTTCTCTGCCCGGGCTCCGGCCGCCTCTGTTATTTATCCGGGCCAGCTGGTGGCTCTTTGTTGCCGGAAGAAGCGCGCAAACTCCGCCCCGCGCTCGGGGAAGGGAGGGAGGCAGGACACGTGGCTTTGTTTATGGCCGCTTCTCGGGGAGCCGAGCGAGCCAGCGAGAGCGCGCGAGGGGGAGAGGATTGTTGCTTTGGCCACGGTTGTTGGTTGCGCAATCCTGGAAATGGAAACTTGGCCTCGCTCACCTGCCCAGTCTCGGTATTTTTAGGACACCCCCCCCAAAAAAGCAGACTTTAAAAATAAATAAAAAAAAGCAAAGGAAGATTACTCTGAAGATGCAGTGCACCGACGTGATCCTGTTATTATTGTGGTTAGTAGTAGGTTGACCAATGTGGTTATTCAAGGTAAACTCTTTTTTGGGTGGAGTCCAACTCTGGGTGATTTTCCGAACAGGGAATTTTCTTGGCAAGGGCTCCTGAGCAACTTGCTCCGGGTTTCTTCCAGTTTGTTCTCCTTTTTCCATCCCCACCACCCCCAGTTTCCCAGGTCACTTCATAATTAGATTTCTTGGTGGTCTCCGTCCAAATGTTAACAGAATAACAGAGTTTTGGAAAGGACCTTGGAGGTCTTCTAGTCCATCCGCCTTCTCAAGCAGGAGACCGTATATCATTTTGGACAAATGGCTGTCCAATCTCTTAAAAACTTCCAGTGTTGGAGCACCCACAACTTCTGGAGGCAAGTTGTTCCATTGATTAATTGTTCTAACTGACAGGAAATTCCTCCTTAGTTCTATCTAGGTTGTTTCTCTCCTTGATTAGTTTCCATTTGTTGCTTCTTGTTCTGCCTTCAGATGCTTTGGAGCAGGGCTTTTCAACCAGTGGTACGGGCACCACCTGTGGTACATGGGCACCTGGCAGGTGGTACGCGACCATCCTAGAAAAGTGGTAGCGGGGGAGGGGAATGAGCTGAACCGGTGGCAGCACCGCACAAGCCTGAGCGAGAGATGGCTGGAGCTGCAGGGCTCAGCGGAAGCGCCAGGATCAGCACTTCTTTGGGACTGTCAGGGCTCAGCGGAAGCACCAGGATCAGCACCAGGCTCCAGCTGGAGCTTGGCGCTGATCCTGGTGCTTCTGCTGAGCCCAGAAGAAGCGCCGATCAGCTGGAATGTTGCAACATCTCCAGGGTCTTGTGATTTACATTTAAATGCTTGGCAACTGATTCATATTTATGATGGTCACAGTGTCCCAGGGTCATGTGAAGTGACCAAAACCTGCTGCAACCACCCGGCCGACGGGAGGAATAAAAACCAAACACCCCCACCCCACCTCCGCTGCCAATCTTCAACAGAAATGCTCACAACAATGAAAACCTCGGACAGGAGGAAGAGCGCCACTGGGTGGGCAGGCAGGTGTCTTGCTCGGCTGTGGCTTGGGGGGCACTTTTTTCAGTGCCATTGTAACTTCTAAGAGTCACTAAGTGAACTGTTGTAAGTTGAGGACTACCTGTACTTTCTCTCTTTTTTCATTTTTTTGGGGGGTCATCAAGTTTTTGACACCTTGCTAGGTGACTGGTGGTACTCGGATATTGCCATATCCTAAAAGTGGTGCAGTGGGTGAAAAGGTTAAAAAGCCCTGCTTTGGAGGATAGGTTGACCCTCCTCTTCTTTGTGGAAGCCCCTTAAGGTGTTGGAACACTGCTACTTCAAACCCCAATCTTACAAGAAAGTTTGACTCTTGCCACCCAGATGGGCAGAGCCTTTATTAGCACTGATCAGAAGGTTACAGTAGCATGAGCAAATTTTGGAGTTATCTGGAGCTCTTCATTTCTGCAAAAATAAATATGGAAGATGCAGTTGTATAATACATAATTGCCTAACTGATGTTCATCTGAGGATGTTCCCAAAGGTCCAGAGAATATTTCACTTGAAATTCTTTCAAGTAGGAACTTTAGGTGCCTTTTAAGAGTGATTTTGTTTTGGGGTATGCGTCAAAAACTAAAATGGATTTAATTTATCTTTATTAAACTATGGATAATATTTACTCCTTATATTTATTATTTTCCCTCTTGGTCACTAAAACTATAATCTAGTGCAGTGTTTTCTCAACCCTGGGAACTTGAAAATATATAGACTTCAATTCCCAGAATTCCCCAGGAAGCATGGCTGGTTGGGGAATTCTGGGAGCTGAAGTTCACAGATCTTAAAAGTTCGGATTCAGAAAGACTAAAATCAAGAGTTAAACCTTTGGTGGTGGGCAGTGGGGAAGCCCCCTTTGGCATTAGATTGGGGGGGAGAATCTTTCTGCTTATTGTTAACTGTTTTGTTTACAAGGAAAACAACACTGAAACTTTCACCACACTTTCAAGATTAATAAAAGATTATGCTTCCTGACTTTAACACATAGTCACTTTCATCCATTCCACAGCAGTTTCAAGATGTCCCAAAAACTGTTCCTTATTGCATCATAGCCCCCCCAAAAAAACCCCATTCCTCCTTCTACAACCATTTTATGGACTTCTTTTGTTTTATGAACTTCTTTTATGTAGCAATAGATTGAATAAATGTGCATAGGTTGCATGTGTAGTTTCTTTTCCATAAAATTAGCACTATGTCTGGGTGCCTGGGCAAGAGAAGCAAGGTACATGTTTGAGAAGTGATGTTTTCAGTTCAGACATTTACACATGTTCCTGATTACCTGAGGCTTGTTTGTAGATAAGTTGTTCTCTGATTGAGCAACAAATGAAGGGGTGTGTTGATCCTCCCCTGTTATTGTTGAGTGGGTAGAATCATTCACACACCATGACATTTTAGCCTGTGTTTTTCTGCAGACTGATAGATACTGTCCACCACAGACAACTAATCTCGGTATAATGTGCATGTAATTTCTCCTGGAATGAAAAAGACTTAATTCAAATGACTTTGGCTTTCTGGAAATCATTGGCTGTCTTCCAACTTCCTTTCCAGATTTGAATCATAGCCTAATGAATGGACACTTTACTTTTTATACTTATGTCTAGCTGATTACAGAAGTCACCCAGCTGTGAATCACCCACAGCCAGTTTTTTTTCCACCATGGAATTTGGTATCTGGGGACAATATCCAAAATCCTTGTGAGAAAATCCAAACTACAGAGGTAGATGTAGTGGTTATGGTGTGGATCCATTAAGATCCAACTTGAAGTCCATCTACTTTTGGTAACAAAAGCTTGCAAGCTGGTTGTGGGAATAAATAAAGGAGGGAGTGTAACACACATCATTCCTGAGCATCTGGAGAATAGATACAGTAAATCTAAGCAATAAATAAACTACATGTAGTAGGGAGGTGCTCTATTCAGAATACTTTTAAATAATGAATCTATTAATCAACATTCTTAGATGAAAGGAGCAATAATATTACAGGTAGTCCTCGACTTATGACCACAATTTGAACTCAAAATTTCTGTCGCTAAGTGAGACAGCTATTAAGTGAATTTTGCCCCCTTTTACGGCCTTTCTTGCAACAGTTGTTAAATGAATCACTGCAGTTGTTAAATTGGTAACAAGGCTGTTAAGTGAAACCAGCTTCCCCATTGGCTTTGCTTGTCAGAAGGTCACAAAAGGTGATCACATGACCCCGGGACATTGCAAGCGTAGTAAATGTGAGTCAGTTGCCAAATGTCTGAGTTTTGATCACATGACCATGGGGATGCTACAACGGTTGCAAGTGTGAAAAACGGCCATAAGTCACTTTTTTCAGTTACGTTGTAACTTCGAATGGCCACTAATTGTAAGCCGAGGAATACCTGTGCAACCTAGTCCAGGGGTAGGCAACGTTGGCTCTTTTATGACTCATGGACTTCAACTCCCAGAATTCCTGAGCCAGCCATGCTGAGGGGAAAGGGAGAGGTTTCCAAGCTCAGCCATGCTGGCTCAGGAATTCTGGGAGTTGAAGTCCACGAGTCATAAAAGAGCCAAGGTTGCCTACTCCTGACCTAGTCCTGGACTTACAACCATTCATTTAGCAACTATCTGAAGTTACAACATCCCTGGAAAAAAAATGACTTACAGTCAGTACTTACACTTAACAACTATCTCAGCATCCCCACAGTCACGTGTTCAGAATTCAGGTGCTTGGCCCTTGGCACGCGCTTATAGTAGATGCAGTGTTCCAAGGTCATGTGATCACCATTTGCCAGCTTCCCAACCAATTTCTGATTAGGAAAGTCACTGAGGGAAGCTGGAGTTGCTTAATGTCCACATGACTTTAGAGTGATTTGCTTAACAACAGTGGCAAAAAAAGGTTATAAAATCGGGCACAAATGACTTAATAATGGCTTTGCTTAACAATGGAAATTCTGATCTGAATTGGAGTCGCAAGTCAAGGACTACCGCTATACCCAAAAGTCAATAAAGAAAATAGGAGTTGATTAAAAATAGATGCAAGAGAAATAGAGGAGAAGGAGAAATGTTAGACTTCTCCAAAGCACCGGAGGGCAGGACAAGAAACAATGGTTGGAAACTGATCAAAGAGAGAAGCAACCTAGCATTAAGGAGAAACTTCCTGACAGTGAGGACAATCAACCAGTGGAACGGCTTGCCTTCAGACATTGTAGGCGCTCCATCACTGGAGGTTTTTGTGAAGAGGCTGGACAGTCACTTGTCTGAGATGGTATAGGTTCTCCTGCTTGAGCAGGGGGCTGGACTAGAAGACCTCCAAGGTCCCTTCCAGCTCTATTCTATTCTAATTTCATAAGCCAATGTAGGAAATGGAGCAATCTTGTTAGACCTGACATCTTCTGGATTACAGGTAATCACTTAATAGGAAAAGCACAGCTGGTGATGG